AGAATAACCAAATTATATATCTCTTTTTATTTCATAGGATTTTGTTAAATCACTTAACTCTTTCTGCCCTTTAGTTTAGTTTCTTCATGAAAAACATGCAGGATTCAACATCCTTGAACTGAAAATTCTTCTTACAGTCTATAACCATTTTAAGTATAATTGTACATGATATATTGTAGCAGAACTCACTACTTAAACTGAGAGTAATATCCTTCAATCTTAACTCAGAAAAGGTGGTCCTCATCTGCAGAAGACCAGCTCTCCAGGTATAATCTCTGTTAGAAGTTCTTCAATGAAGAAATTCTAATTGAAACAAACTTTCTTTCTTTGTAATAAATATAGTTAATAATTAGTATTATTTTGCTAGTCATGAATGATGGCATCTTCTACAGCTCAGTAAGAGAACAAACTTGCTTTACTAAACTAGAGAGTCATTTCTTTCAGTTCATAAAGAGATGGTCACTAAAATTTGGCCTACCATTTCCTGTTTCTCAGATTATGCATTTGAGGGATGATATTACTTGGCTCTCAGTCCCCTAAAACATCTTTTCCCACCTTCATGGAGCTCAAACTCTCTCAAGTCTGTTTGCAGACTCTTTATTCTCTGTTTTTGGAGCATTATTCTTTCTTTAACTTAAGTGTACAATTTTTACTGACATCAACTAGAAGTTTTGAAGTAGAACACAAAGCACGTATGGTCCAAAGAATGTAAATTAATTGTGACCTTATGTTCAATAACTTACTTTTGCAAGCTTTCTTAGATGTGAAACTGATAAGGAGTTAATGAGCCATGCATTTGCTTGTTTTTCACTCATACTTCTGCTAATGCAAAGGTCCTAATGGAAACTCATCCACTATAACACAATAAATTGACAACTGATAATAGGAAGGTAGATGGCTCACAAGAATTTGCCATAATTATCTTTTGTACGTGAAATGTATAAATTATCAGTAAAAAAGATTACTTAAAATCCTTTAGCTATGTATGTAACTGATGCTTACCTATAATATATGTTTATGGCTATTTCAGCATTGCCCATTCCTTTTCCTTTTATTTTGTATTCTCCATCTATTGCTGAAATGTGCCTGAATTTAAGCCCTAATCTAATGTTTGCTTAATTTCAATCACACAAGCAGAGTATATGTGAAAGTGTTTTTTCCATAATCTATTTTGGGCCTCTTGGACTAACACTTTTCGCTTACCCTGTGTTTTCACAGTGCCTAGCAAAATGATTAGTGTTGGAAGCTCTAGGTAGTTAAATATAATGAAATGAAATTAACATTATGTGGAATTGGGAAAATACTTGAGAATTTTTTGATTCTGTAAACTAAAAAGAAAATTAGCAGCTGATGACATATTGTATTTTGCTGCAATATCATTAAAATATTCATAATAAAATCATGCCATTTTTCTGTCATAACAACATTTGAAAATTTCAGAGAATCACTTTCAGCACAAAACACAAAAAATTATATATTAAATGAATTGTAAATACAGGTCTTATTCTTTAATTTCTGTTTGGAGCACAGTGGATGTAATTTTCCTTAATTTATTTCATAGACTGGTGTGAAGAAAATAAAGCAAATTGTTTTATATAAAACAGAGAAAAGAAGAAGAGGTGTTCTGACTTGCTGTGTGGAGATCAATTAAACAATAGGAATGTTTGTCAAAGACTTTTCATGCCACACTATAACTTGGCCTAGGAAGCATGTACTAACTTATTTGAAAAATTAGGTATGATGTGCCTGTTACTTAGTATGCATGAAATATGCCTAAAAATACTACAAACCTTATTAAAATGGCAAAAGATATATCGCCTGAGTCATATGAGCCAAATGTGACTAAATATCAAAATACTAAGGGTTTTTCAACCACAGTGAACAGAAAGACTATACTAACTCTTTACCAAGACTTAGGCACCTACTAATTGTGATTTTGCAGTTTTCATGGAAACTGCAATTTCAGGTGGTTTCCATGAAAACACATGGGCCTCGCAAAATGGCACAAAAGCACTGAGTTGAGGGGGGAGGGGAAAAAGCAAAAGAAAACTGCAAGCAGAGAAAAGGATGGGAAGCCCTTGCATCCTGAAGCATGGGGGGGAAGGGAGGGAGGGGTGGAAGGAAGAAAAGGAGAGGGCAAGAAGAGGGAGCAAATCAAAGGCTGAGCCCCTGAATAAACAGTCCAGGAGCCAGCTGGGGCCAGTCAGGGGAGTAGGAGGGTTTTGGTGCTCGCTTTTAAAGTGCCCACAGGCATGTTCCTGAAGCATGCATGGTCCCACCTGAGGAAGATTCTTCTTTAGCATGTTCATTGAGAAGAACTCCTCTAATACAGCAAATAAGTTTTAGTGCTAGACTGTGCAAAACAGTATCCTTCAGGGACCTTACATGTAGATGGAGACAGGTTCTTCTGTATCTGCTGTAATGTACCTCTGAATGGCCGCATCCAGACAAGCAGGTGCATGAATTTTGTGGCACCACAAAGAGGTTTGGCATCACAAACCACATGCATGGAAAGTTAAAATGTGCCCCACACTGAAAATTTGTAGTGTGGGGGAAGTATTTGCTACTGGGATTTCCTAAGGGTAAAAAACAGTACAAAACACTGGAAATAAAAAGTGGCAAACAGCATGCTACAGTAACATGAACCAGAACAAATGGAGGCTTGGTCCTCCAGTGAGGTGTTCTGGCTGCCAGCTAGTGTCTCTATGCTCCATTTGTGCCCTGGTGGCTCCAGCACTCCAAGTGCTGGGAGGAGTTGAGTAAGGGCAGTTGAGTTCAGCAAGGGCAGTTTCCCACAGCGGGACAATGTGTCTCACAAAAAAGCACACATGAAGGGCATGAGCTGAGGCACAAAGTAGTAGCACAAATTTGTACCGCTACTATTTGTGTCACTGAAAGTGCATGTTTGTGCTCTTTTGGACACGGCTGATGTGTCCAGGAAAACCAGTATAGATTGGCACTTGAACTATAAGGCACATATGAAAAGTAAGGCTGTTGCAGAGGCTGAAGTTCTGAGTGAGAAGCAAGCAACTGTGTCCTCCATGTTTACTGGTGCCTCAAAAGGCTTTGGGGTGCTGCAAACCACGGATTCCCATTCAAATGGATGTGGCCTATGTGTGCTGAACTTCTGTTCTGTTACAGGTATAGTCCTGTTTCCAATCACAGAAGAAAGCTTGGCAGAGCAATCATCAGCATTTTGCCTCATGGAGGCTTTCATGGTGGTGAACATCCCACTGGAGAAACTCGATCACCTAAAGTGAAGGGACTACCTAAGCCAAAACATGCCAAATGCTGGCAGTTTTCCAGGTGTTGATAAGCTTCTCCCTGCAGTGATTGCTTCACATGTACAATCCATGAAGGCTGCCTTGGCAAAATATCATTCCTTCTCCATTGTGGCTGATGAAACCACTGACCCTCAAGATAGCTATGTGCTGCACATTTTATTTGTACTGTGGAGCTGTACTGATTGGGACCTGCCTGTGTTTCAAACTGAATGGGTCCACCTCATGCCTGTCAATTTTTCTACCATATCCCACGCCACCATGAAGGTAATTGTCAGTTAGGTGTAGATTTTAACAAGATCTCAGCAGTCCTGTTTGACAATTCTGAGTACACACGCAAAGCTTTCTCCACTGTGCTCCAAGGAATGCTGCCAAATATTGTTCATGTCATCTGCAATAGGCACATTCTGACCCTAGAAAGTGACACCTGGTGCACACAGTTCCCCAGGGTCAGGGATGGGTAAAATATGGTCCATGAGCAAGATCTGGCCCATGGAGGGGCTTTGTCCAGCATGCAGTGGGTCCCTCAGTCCCACCTGGCCCAGGCACTGTCCCCCCACGGCATGTCCTGCCACCCCTGGGCACAGAGCAGAGCTGCAAGCTTTCTAAGCAGCCCAGATGGTGGTGGCCCCTTCTAGCTGCTGAGCCACAGAGCAACATAGTGTGGGCTCCAGGCAGCTGTAGTAGGGACTGCTGGGCAGTAGCAGTGGGGAGGAGCCACTCTTTCTCCACACTGAGGAACAGTTTCTGCTTGGCTGGTGCTGCTGTTTCTACTATATAGCATGGGTAGGAGAGTCCAGAGCAGACATGGTGTGCACCAGGTAAGGGCTGTGCCTGGGGTCCTGCTGATCTGCTCCCTATGAAGTGAGTCTAAAGCAGGTGCAGGGCAGGGCTAGGACTGCACATTGTTGGCAGTGATGGGTAGGCACCTCAGAGTGTGAGGGTTCCAGGCTGTTGAGAAGCAGTATAGTGTATAGTGGCTGATATAGTGATTGTGAGCACTGGTGTCAGTATATCTACCTATCTGAGGCCCTGGAGTCTGCTGTTGATGGTCAGCTTCCTTGAGGGCGATGTCTTCTCCAGAAGGGGGTCACCTGCTTGTACTTCTGTCTCGGTAGGTCAGGTGCTGGATGAGAGGGTGCCACAGAGGGTCACACTTCACTGCTTTTTATCCCTTTCTAGCCTTTTATCCCTTTCTGGCCTTTTATCCCTTTCTGCCAGGGGATCCCTTGTGTGATCCCCCAGCATCATTTTGGCTACCCAATCTGGAGGTCGCTGTTCCACGTGGGTCTTGAGTAGTAGCTGATGGCTGTTAGTCACAGGGTCTCTGCCTGCTGGTACCTGAAGTTTCGGGAGTCCATCCTTGACTTATTGACTTACTGGCTGTATTGTCATGGGTTACAGGAATAGTCCATAGGATGAGTGCTCAGTTCCAGGAATCAGTACTTTAGCTTGATTCACTTAAAACGGAGTTCCTTTGGCTAGGCTATTGTCTACTGATGATCAACATTCACTCGCATTCACTCAACATATTTTATCACTTTACAATTACAATTTCAATGCAGTTTTAACAATGGTCCAGGGTGTAACTTCATTCTATGGGGAGTACATTCCTTAAGAGTTGAAAAGTATAAAATACAAAATACAAAATGCCATGGTAAAGCCAAGACAGATGAAATATGAAAATGCACTGTGAGAAACATAAAAATGCAATGTAAGGCAGTGAGGATCAAAGGCTACCGGGGACAGTAACTAAGTTAGGTTAGCACAGGATATATTTACAGTCTTTGCAGTGGATATTTTAGTTCTTTTGTTTTCTTTAGTGACACTAAGCTTAACTGATATGTAGATGTAGTTTCTAGGTTTCTCCTACAGAAAGCCACTTCAGTTTTCTGGCTTGCTCTGACCCATGCAATGAGTGTGCTATGTCTCTGCCAATAAAGAGAAGGAAAAGAAATGCACAAAATGGGGATGGGGGAGGGTTTGCAGGCAAGAAGGGGCTTCTGTTATATCAATGTCCAGAAGGGAAATGTACAAAGGGGGCTTTCTGCTACACTCCCATACATACCCACCATACCCACAAACCTTCCCTTGCAAACCCCACAATCACACGCTCCTCCACACAGAAATAAACACCCCACAAACACCGCTCCCACCCATACCACTGCCCACACACCCTCCCACACACACCCACACGCTTCTGGTGGGAGCCCTGCTCACTGTTATGCACACACACCACACACACACATCCATAGCC